GGGCTGGGAACATCAGTTTTATTTCTAAAACGGGCTGAAAGTTGAACAGACAAGGTTAAATCGAGGGGTTTTTTTACTGGGAGAGTCTGGCCTTTGTGAGCCCTCGTTGGGTAAAGCTGGTGCTAAGTACATCGAAAGAAAAAGGCTTAATTGGGAAAATATTTAATTAAACCAGATTTGATTAAAGAAAAGGTGAATTATGACATCTAAACCCATTCTCTGTGGTTCGAATCAATCAAAGACAAAGGGGTGGGGAATAAGAAGTGCGTCACCGGTGGGGCTGTTGAGTTTAAACTCGGTTTGAGGATTGGTTTTAGGCTCTGGGAGGGTCCCAGCAGCACCTAAAACTGCTTGAAATGGCACAAAACCAGCCCCGTCCTGTGTGTGAAACCCTGCCCGGAGCAGGACAGCGCCTGGCAGGGAAACTCATTGAAATTCTGGAAATTGCAAAGGGAGGAACCAGCCCCCCCTCAGGGTGGCGGGGGGAGGCTGGACGCGGGCAGGTTTTAGGGTAAAACCAGCCAGAATTACCCACGGGTGTAGGGAGGGACGGGGGATGGTCCTGCTGGCCACAAAACGGGGTTTACTCGGTGGCTTCTCCTCGTGGTTTTGCTCCTTCCCCCTCATCTGAGCGCCCCCCCCTCTGTAAAATCACCAGGAATGAAATTCTGCCCCTGCTCAGGTTTCCAAGACTGGAATTTTCTCCGAATTAGGAAAAAAACCTCCAAAAAACAAACAAAAAAGGGATTAGCGTCATCCCAGCTCTACCAACCAGGCAGAAGAAATTTGAATGAAAATCAGAAAAATATCAACGGATCCTTTTCCCAGATCCGATCAACTATTTGAGGGGGGGGGGAAAGGGGGAAAAATTTTGGAGGTACCTAAAAACAAACCCCCAAGACCGGCGCCGCCGCTGTTGGGAGCCGGGATGTGCCCCGTGGCCGAGGCTCTGCAGCTCTTCAGCCTGACCCCGCTGCCCTTCCGCTCACCAGCCCCAGCCTGGTCCTGTGCTAAGCTCGCGTGACCGAGGAGAGTTTTCAGCAGCACAAGAAGGGTTTCTGTTAAAACCGGGTCTATCCTTAGGACCGCGGAGGCCGGAATCATCTGGTGACGAGCGTGTCTGTGTCAACGTTGTTGAGGAGGAAGAGTTCGGGGTGAGCGGCAAATCCCAGGTGGCGCTGGAAGAGGCAAAGGAGAAGAGTTAGAGCTGGGAACAGCCTAAATTGAGCGGGGTTTAACAAAGCTCAAGTTGAGCGGGGTTTAACAAAGCTTGAGTTGAGCGGGGTTTAACAAAGCTCGAATGGAGCTCCCCCGCATGTTTCCACATGCAAAATCCAAAGTTTTGGGGTTTCTGGCTTTCCCGTGCTTGGGCAGGCAGGTGACATCAACCCGTATTTGAGCTCTTCTGCGATCTGGTGGGGGGGGAAGAGATGCTGGAAATGAGTTATAGAGACGCTAAAAATTTATATAATAATAAAAATTAATAAAAATTATCTTGGCAGAGCTAAGGGCAGTTAGGCAAGGCCTAGCAAAGCTCGGCTCAGCTGGGCTAGGCTTAGCAATGCTGTCAGGATTTGTCAGGCGGGACAAGCCCTGGCCCAGGGCCCAGCTCAGCCGCTGTTGGTCGTTAATTAACACGCTGGGGGTGTAACGAGCTTTTGGTTCGTCATGGTGAGGGGGATGGACACACACACCAGTGACCGGACTGGGAGCACACTGGCATGGCACTGGGAGCGTCCCGCCGGCAGACTGGGGGCAGACTGGGAACGCCCTGTGGAGGACTGGGAGAACCCACAGGGAGACTGGGGACAGGCTGGGTGCACCCCCCCAGCAGACTGGGAGCAGCCCACTAACAAACTGGGAGTGTCCCATCAGCAGACTGGGAGCACCTTACAAGCAAGCTGGGAGCAGACTGGGATCACCCTGTGGTGGACTGGGAGCGCCCTGCTACCAAACTGGGAGCAGACTGGGAACAGCCCACCAGGAGACTGGGAACAGACTGGGATCCCCCTGTGGCAGACTGGGAGCTGACTGGGAGCGCCCTGCTACCAAACTGGGAGCAGACCGAGGCCAACCCCACAGCAAACTGGGAGCAGACCGGGAGCACCCTACAGCAGACTGGGGGCATCCCACTACCAAACTGGGAGTAGACTGGGAGCAGCTCACCAGAAGACTGGGAACAGACTGGGATCCCCCTGTGGTGGACTGGGAACTGACTGGGAGCACCCCAACACCCCACCCTCCCCCATGCTGGTGGCTCGAGCCAC